TGTACTGACCATTCCAGGTTGGTTTCCTGCAGATCAATCTTTGAAGACACCTTTCAGATCTCCTTTTTAGCTAAAAATCCAAATGATTAAATTCCCATCTCATATCTGATTCCAACGTGAATTGGATGGCATGATAGCAGCTGTCGAACAACTTAGTCATCATTTCAATGTTAGTATTCTCGTCACATATGGTGAAAGTATCATCCATGTATCTTTAGTATATATGGAAAATATCGATAGTAGGCCGTAGCATACAATTCTCCAGACTTGCCAAGAAGCAGTCTGCAAGTAAGGGACCTAATGGTGACCCCATTACCATTCCATCTCTTTGTCTGTAAAGCGTGTTGTTGAACTTAAACTGGACATTTAAAGTGCACCTCAACAGTATTTCATTAAAATAATGGATAGGAGCACACACGTTTACAGTATTATTTTCAATGAATTTGCATATAAAGCAAAATAGTTTCAGTGAGAGGAACATTGATGAGAAGGGATGTAAAATCCATGGATATCATTTTCTTCCCGGATACATTAGCAATTCTTATTGAATTGACGAATTCAAATGGATCTGCAAAACTATGCTGACAGAGATTATTTCTGATAGATAGGAGGATGTACTTTGATGAATATTATTCACATCTTAATAAGGGTTAGTGTGGATCTAAAGCCTACAACCCTTAATAAACCTGAAATCTAAATCAATTTAGACAGATAAATATTACAAGCACTGAAGCATTATGCCAATCATCTTTTGAACTTCAGAACTGTAAGCGTGAAAGAATCCACTCTTGAATGTTATGACTTCAATCAAGGTGGATAAGCACTATCTTATTGATGTTACAAAATTCCTAGGTAGAACACGCCAATTTACGGGAAGTTTAAAAATTGCTTATTAGCTCCTTGTGTAATGGTAGAAGACGAGAAACTTGGTAATGGAACGTTTATTTAGAATCGCTATGTAGCGAAATTATGGTATATCATTTGCACAGATATTCCGTGTACTGCTACTTTTGGCCTTCATATTGCATTCCTTTCACGTCCCCCATGTATCCACGTAAAGGTGGTTCATTTGCTCTCTTTCAAGTCAAATCTATCTTCGTGATATTTGATGTTTTTATGCTAACGAACGTCTCTTTATATACTACTGGCAAATCTTATCAGTAGCACACGCCACACTTGCAGTATCTGCCTTTTGTAGGCTGCATTTATCTTTCACATTCAAACTATGAAAATTTCTCAGAGTCACTGAAGAGGAGCATATGCATACTAGTTACTAAGACAGAAATATTCATTTCAGATTAATGACATACAGTTGGAATACCTTTGGAAGAATAGAAATCATAAGCCGTATGTTTTTGTTTAAACAGTCAAGAACACAATATTCAGCGAAGAGACTATTTCCAACAAATTTACTATCCAGGTGTACAGTGGTATATGCATATGGCTTTTTTAAAGCAATTATATCCGGTGAGGGAACTGAATCAAAGATGTGAATACATGAAATGATAATAATAGTATTAAATGTAATTAAAATATTTCTGGTGAACTGTTAGATGCTCTTGTGGAGCAGGGTACATTGGCCGTAGACAGAGAACGCTTTCTACCACACGGATACAAGAACATATTCTAGCATGGTTTTACAAGGGAGAAAGGAAGAGTGTGCATAGCTATATTCTAGAACACTTGATCTACTCTTGTCACTCTACCAACCCTGATCGTGACTTTAAGATCATCTATAGAATCCATGCTAACTTGCAGTGTTTTCTTCGTTATAGACTTCTGAAGACAGAGGAGGCCTTGGTTATTCATGAATTTAAAGAAGTATGTACAATCCCTACTTCTGCCTTGGTTGTAGAGCGATAGATATTTATTTAGTTAATCTAGGTACCTCTTGCTCATTACTACGATTATTATTATTTTTACTATTCTCACTTTGAATTGTTTCCACCTGTCATTCTAAATCTAAATTTTTTTCACAATGTTGAGTTGTATTTCATCAAATTTCACACCCCTTCGCAACATCTATACATCTTACGAATTATTCTGTATATGACATTAATTGTTTTGTTACTTGACGTTTAATTATGATTATTATCATAAATATTTTAATTGCATTTCATACTATTATTATTTTATACATTCACACCTTTGATTGAATTCCCTCACAGGATATAATTTCTTAAAATAGCCTTTATATATATATATACGATTGTACAGATTGATAATAAATTCGTTGTTGAAAAGAGTTTCTTCGCTGAATATTGTGCTCCTAATATTATAACGGCAATGTTGATTTTCACCAGTGTGACTAAGCAGGGTCAGTGAGCTAATACAAAACTCTAAGCTTATAAAATTTAGTCAACAAGTGTTCAGAACTTACTGTAATTTATATAAATTTCTGGAAAGAACAAAACTTCTAGGGCGAAAATGCCTGAGCGTCTAAGACAAACTGAATGTACGAGAAATCAAAAAGTTTCGACAGTGCCATGTTAGCAGCCTTCTACACGTTATTTAAATAGATTGTTAACTATGATTATCACTTAGAAAATGATTTGTCTAGTTACCTTTATGCAAATGTTCGACACCTAGGATTAATCTAATGTTTTCTGTTGCCTTATATTTGTCTAAGCAAAGATATGATAGACTAAACATTTCACTCAGTGCGTAACTGTACAGTTCGATATGTTTTCTACCTATATTTTCAAGCGGCCTTGCTTTGTATCGATTGCTGTTGTACAAATATATTTTAATGTTTCTTGAAAAAGTTAATGCTTTAAAACAAGTCACTTTTGGATCGAATTCTCAACTTGCTAATCAATTTGCAACCCGCAAACTACACAGTTTAAGATAAATATTCACTACAGTTTCCTTCAAAAACTGAAATTATTATTCAGATCACACTAAGTGTGATCCACTTGACACCATTAATCGCAATCAAGCAATAATGAATAATGCTACCGACTGATAGATAGTTGGATACTACTCACGCCAACACCAGACAACTGTTTCGTTCGTTTGGAGCCCAGATCATCAGCAGTATACCAGGTCTAACACAGAGGTGAGTCTGTTCAAACCACCTCGTTATTCTGGCTAGCTACTTGAGCGAAATGGTTATGCCATAATTCAAATTCACAAACCGGCATTTATCACACTTCACTTTGGTTAGTAAACACTGCTGGTTGATGTGAGTTGTATCCGATTACTCTTGTCAATCAATCAGTAGTATGTGACAAAAAACTAAGTTCAGGATCTGCTTTCCTCGAGAGTATTAAGGGTGAACAACGACTGAGTCATTCCTCATAAGTTATCAAATCACGAGTTTAAATACAGCAGTAAGGCTCCGAAAATTTAGCGACTATCTGCAATCTACGACTTGTAAAGCTAATCATGTAGATCAGCTTGTTATTTTTCCATAATCAGATTCACAGTTCTTCATGTGGACAGCATCCAACTACTCATAATAACCAATCAGTAGTGTGTGACGTCATGTCATATTTCTTGCTGATTATCGTGTTATAGCAATTTGCGTGAATCAATATTTTTGTTTATTTGATTGTTTCGTTATCAAAATGTTGAAGGTGGGGAATTTAAGAGCTTTCCTGTTTTTATAGCCAAACAACACCACTTTTACCTTACCTACTCGTAAATACCTGGTTGGTGCTGTAGAAACTCTTAGAATACATGGCCTGAAACTGTTAGCGGTATGGATCAAATTTACTCTCAGTGGTGCACATGCATTTCCTCTTTGTTATCTCCTGGATTCGTTAAGTCCTTATACTTTCCCATATTGCTGTTCTTTCCTGAAGCAAATTTTTGCTCATCATTGATCTTTTGAATTACCTTCGTTTACTTCTTATCATTCTTTGTGTGCTACATATATTGACTTTATACCACGGTAAAATCTCGTTGACTTAGAATATGCAGATGATGTAGTCCTTCTAGGTGAAGATGCTGAAAAAATGCAAAGTCTTCTGAGCACCTTGAGCTGCAATTTTCGAATGTCTGGCATGCGATTCGCTCCCACCAAATATAAGATGATGCTATAGGACTGGACTACATCGACTACTCCTAGCTTAAAAATAGGGAGGAAGTGAAGTGATGACTGAGCGTGTTGTTGACCACTTCACTTATTTGGGAAGTTGCATCAGCCAACGGCAGCGGGTTGATCGCTGACGAGATCTCATCACGGATACAGAAGGCCCATTTGGGATTTTTCAGCCAAATTACGCCATCTCTGGTGTAGACATGATATCCGGCTGTCGAACAAAGGACGTGTTTACTGTTTAGCAGTCCGCTCCGTCCACCTTTATGGCTGTGAAACATGTCTAGTGAAATTTGAAGACATGCAAGGCAGGTCAGCTGGTGCCTGCGTTCTATCTCCCATGTTAGGTGATATAATAAGGTGAGCAATGTTGAGGTTAGACGTCAAGTGGTGGGTAAAGAGAGGAAATCGATTGAGATGGTTAGGACACATGCCTAAACATCGCCTTCCTCAGCGACCAATGTTAGCTGACACAGGATCGTTGAGGCTTGAAAACAGCCAGTCGTCAGACCAAAACATGGCTTCACCAGTCAATGAAACCCATAACAGTCAGTTTAAGCTAGCCACGTCGGGAGGTGTAGACAACCTGGTTGAGGTCCTCAGGATGGTAAGAACCAATGGTTGCAGGCAATAGGTAATATGGCTCAAAATCATTCTCAATGGCGCAGATGCATTCATTCTCTGTGACGTATCATATCCAATAAAGCTCTATCGTTCTTTCATATTACTATCCTTTTTCCCTCACGAAAACTTCTGTTTATTATCTCTCTTTACTCTCTTCTCTTGCTTTTTGCCACATGGAGTGTGACAACTCCGACTGCTGAACATATATGCAAAGTTCTACGTTGAAACCAGTCAGCTGCATAGATTGTGCCGATTTGAACTGCATTAATTCTATGCAAAGTTCTGCGTTGGAACTCTGTTACACACAGTTAGTCATTTTAATTCTTCAAAATTAGTAGTCCACTATTGTATTATTCATCTCATAAATGTATTACTTAAAACATCTAGAGAGATAAAATAATAAAACTAACAGAAAAATCATTAAACTTTTGTTTTATCTTTAATAAGCAGTATAAAGCCAATTATAAAGAAGATATAGAACAAAAGTGTCAGATATTAAACTTGATGCTGGGATAAAACAACCTGGATACATTGAAATGTGAACAGAGATCATTATTATTATTATTATTACTACTAGATGGATATATAAAAGCAGTATTCCATTGCATGTATGTGAACAGGTAAAAACAAACACAACTGTACTAACAGAAGAAGCGAGGTGTAAACGGCTGGTTAGAAAAAAAAGGAGGTGTGTATTAGGCATTTCGTGAACAATCAATCAATCAATCACCAACCGATGGTTGAAGGGATCCTATCAAGCCAAATTTATTATCGTCCGTCTGTGCATACTGTCTTCAATCCTTTTCCAGTGAAATTCGTTTTAAATTGTTCTGGGACTGGATACTCCTCCTGAAACCGATAAAAAAAAGGAGATAGATAAGAAGCCAATGATACTGATAAGGCAGTAAATACAGAAATAGAATAAAAATAACTTTGGGAAAGGGACTCTCAGACATGTTAGATGATTTACATCATTAAATATAAAAAAAAACATTGTGCACTGGCGATTCAGTATAATAGAATGCTTGTCAACCACCCCACACAAGAGGTGAGAGACTTCGAATCCCGACTGAAGACGCACACTTGATTAATCCTCGGCTACTTTACTAGCCGAAGATATGCTTGGGGAAAAGAGTAGGCTGGGAATGAGATTTGGAACTTTAAAGCTTCGAGCGCCCTGCATTCTACTCAGAATACAAACAAGTGAAAGTTAAAATTAGATATACATAAAACTTATTCATGATGCAATATGCTTTACAAATGCATAGTGTTCATTTAATAAGACGAGTGGAATAAAAAAAGGAGTTAAAACAATATAACAAATGGAGCGAAATATTTTTTAGCTTGCATAGCGCTTTTATACCACACACACACACCTTTAAAAATTCAAGAATATCCCCTTGTTTATCTCTACACTCCGGTTAATGTGTAAACCATTCTAACTTCTTATTTATTGATTGTATACTGACAGACTGGGGGTATTTTCAATACAGAACTTCTCACAAAAGTGAAGCAGCAGTTCAACTTGCTACACTTCAAAAAATACATTTAATGGTACAGGAAAGGAGTGAAAAATAAAAAAAAACTATAATGAACAGAGATGCACGAGAGAAAGAATAATTCTTTGGGGGGGGGAGGGAATAATGAGATTTTAATGGATCTCAAGAAGTCGGTTTACAGCATCACAAGGGACTTCAACCAGGTTGTGCATACTTCTGTCTATGTGGCTTAAACCACCAGTCAATGATTTCATGCATTGACGACACACTTCGATTTAACGATCTCTAACTCTTTTCCAACCTAATTTTGTGTCAGCTAACATTGTACGGAAAGGAAGTCGATAGCTCGGCATGCTCAATATGTGTCCTATCGATCTCAATACATGTAGTTTCAGAATTTCAGTGACTGATTTACCCTTACACTACGCCTAACTTCAATATTACTCACCATAGGATACCACTTAACACGGGAGACACAACGCAAACATATGTGGTCAAAAAATAGTTAGCCTATTCAGGGAATTCAATTTCAGTGATTCCCTCTCACGGATATAGAGAAGAATAGAGTAAACTAATGTACAGTAAAAGCACGTTCTTTGATAAGTGGTTGGATATCAAATTTGCTTCAGAGATGACATAATTTGACTGACAGCAATCAGCAATCACTAGAGCTACTACAATTTATTAGTATATATGTAAAACTTGGGCATTGTAGTAGTAAGTAATTCAATATTAATTTTCAAGTATTGGTTTTGTAGGGATTTTGTTTGATTGCATGGAGGATTTCATCATGAGCTGACATCAGTTAGAGAACCACTGGAAAACCTGGGAGTACTGGACAAAACGGCTGTCTAGTACTCCCAGGTTTTCCAGTGGTTCTCTAACTGATGTCAGCTCATGATGAAATCCTCCATGCAATTCCATATTAGTTTGTTTATTAGATGTATCACACAGTGAAACAGTATTATTTACTGGATGACGAAGTTTCGAATACAATTTATTGTTCATAATCATATCAACTGTGAACACACGACTTTGAAATTTGAGTTTTAGTTTTTTTGTTCTGTCCTATTTGTCGTCGTCGGGGTAGTAGAATTTTCCAGATGCCTGGGACAGGTGTTGAATCATTCCTATTACACGTGTTGGTTTGCAGTTGATTCGATAAACAAAGCTTCTGTTATCAATCTCTCCCTCCACCCTGTGACATTAGACTTTAAAACTGTCATCTTATCCCATCCATCCTATTGTATGGTTGTGTGTAACGGCATGTAGTGCTATAGCCGAACTATTCTCTAGATTTTTTATCTTATTTGGATCAACCAATCTAGATTTTGCTAGGTTTTTCTGTTCAGCTAGTCTGACTGCCCCTGTTCTACTAGTTTGACCTATGTATTTGACCTGAGTATCATTGCAGGCAGGGTATTAGATAAACTAAATATTGTTTTGTTTTAAAGGCTTCACAGGAACCTTTAACCGACAAAGCTTGTTTCTTGAATGCCACTTTTATTCCTGCCTTGTTAAGAATTCTGTGTAAGGCTTCCGAGGTTCCTTCCATGTATGGAATTACTGTTGATGATTTAGATTCCTTATTGTTGGTGTCGTCATTAATATTATTATCACTATCACTACCATCATTATTTATTTTATTTTTACATTTCCTTACATATCTCCTGACTAATGTATCCGGGTAATTATTAAGTTTCAAGGCTTCTTTTATGTGTATCACTTCCTGTCTTAGATTTTCCTTGGTACTACTTAGTTTTTGTGCTCTGTCACTACAATTTGCCGAAAAGCTGAAGTGATTTTGAGGCTTATTCTTACAAAATGAACTGAGTAGTGTTTATTTCTTGAATAACTCAGATTATACTTCTTCATATTATTTCAAAATTCAATATAGTAAAGCATATCGTCTTATGGATAAACTAAACTCGGGGATAATTGGTTATCGTAATAAACCGTAGTGAAAACATGATTATTTAAAGATACAAGAATTACATAACACTAATATATGCATAAAAAGAATATTTAACACATCAATAAATGTAGGTAGACAGTATAAAGGCAGATTATGGTGTGATATGGTAGCCCAAAAACACCTTATATGATACAGTAATAATGATAATACTAATATTAATTATAAAGAAAAAATTTTACATAATAGAAAAGTACCTCCGTATCTTATGACATTCCGTAAATGACGCAGAATAGAGGTCAAAATCAAAATGAATTCATACACCACAGAATTTGGGTTAATTAACAGATCAGATCACTAGTACACTAGGATATTCATTGATGAATTCTATAAATACTATTACTGTATACAACGGAACACCCACCCACACATTAAGTTTAAGTAAACAGACTGATATTAGGTGGAAATATGCAAATTAACTATTTTTGTTGATAACAGCAACAACATTAAAGAGTAACCATAACTGCTTAATTTACGCATAAACTAGAAGGGTACATTTTCATTTTTACTCTGTAAGATTCTACATCATCGGTGAAGTAATGCAGGAAAGTGTGATGATAAAGTGCGTCAGCGGCACAGAGGTAGAATGCTCGCCGACCACGCCTCATGTGGTCCGGGGTTCGATCCTCGGCCAACACAATCCTTTCATTCGCCAAGCCAGTGGTAAGACTGGTGAAGAGGGAAGGTTGGGCATGAGGCTAGCAACCACCCATCCCATAAAAATAAACACCACTGTTACCGAAACTTGAAAGCTCTAGCTTGAAGCCCTATGTTCCACTGGGAACGTAAAGGAATAAAATAAAGGAAAGTATGATGAGCGAAGTTGAAGTATCATGGCCAAAGCTAAAGTCTTTCGAAAGTTCACCTTCAAGAACCAGTCAGATACACGGAATGCTATGAAATATCACTCCAACTGAAATCATGCCAGCCTTATTGGACTTAGAGAAGACAAATACAATATTACACTTATTCTCTAGGTACCTTGCCTGTAAGCCTATACTGTTAGGTGGGGTTATAGCTTTCTAGATTAAGATTTATAAGCCTAGAGGGTCTAGAGTTAAAGTTAGGGTTACGATTATGGTTAGAATTAATAGTAGGTTTAAGATCAGTGAGAGAAATACCAATAGATCTCAAAGTACCATGATCTACAGTCACCTGGATGAGTGCATCTATTGCACATGGTATGATTTCCCTAAAGATCTGGAAGACATTCTTACAACACATAAGCAACAACTATACTGTATAATACCATGTTTGCAATGTGTTTTAGATCTTTTTCTAACGACTAAGCGACATTTTTGAGTCTGGATTCTCATTGGTTGTTTAAGGTAACTGTGGTTTCGGCTGTGATAGTTTAGCTTCGTCGTGTGATGAATATATATATATATATATATATATATATATATATATATATATATGGATGTGGATTCATGAGGTGTATATGCATATACTATCCCAGCGGTTTCCATAGTCATCACAATGTCAGACGTAATTATATGAAATAATGATGACAAATCGGGGGGCCATAAACCTGTTGATAGTTAATTTTTATGACCACTATAAATGACATAATCTTTTATTTTTAGAATTTCACTTACATAAAACAGTAGGTAATATAATGAATAAAGAGATGATCTTAACTTTATGATACAATATGATCAATTTATTAAGCTTATAAAGACATCCAGGTGACTAGCTGCAATTCCGAAGAAAGGCACTCTCACACTTACCACTAGAAACAAGTAACTTCAAGTAATATCAAGGTCTAGATACTAAATACGCTGCGTGTTTGAAGTTTCCGTATCGAGTGAATTGATTTTCAAGGATAGTGTCGTTAACCACATGCCCAATCTCCCCTCTTTTTACAGGATCAAGACTGGGTAGAAAACCAGTGATCTACTAGAATACATGCCGGAAATAGATTCAACATAGGTCGAGGAGACTGTTGACTGACCGAGTGCTCCATATCCTCAAATAGAACTACAGTAAGAAACGATGAGTTGGGGATAGGCGAGAGGGTAACATGAAGGAAATCACGAGGAGAGGAGATGAGGAATTATGAACAATTGTGGAACACTGCAGCAAGCATGACAGGATGGAGATGTGCTGGCGAAGTTCAAATGTTCCACTAGAAACACAAGGGAGTTAAGTAACGACAATTGTTGACAAATAAATGAATGAAGTACTATCATTGTTGAAGAGCAAGAATTCAAGAACAACATCCCTTTACCCTTATATCTTACGGAGTATATTTGATAACAAGATTAAACGAATGACATCCTCCCCCCTTCTTGCTATAGTAATTTAGTTAAAGTGATTATTACGCGTAATAAAAAAAAGTAGTAGCATGTGTTGAGTTCTAGGTCATACTGAGCGAAACGCTCACATTCACTGGTTTATAGTGTGGGACAAACCATAGCTTACTGGTATAGATGTTACCCCGTGGGGGTAACCTTAGACATTCTCACACCTTGTTTTACCTACTGAACTTTAGGCATACAATTTTATCATTACCTTAAAGATGTAAAAATGAAGCTTGTTGCCAAAGAGACAAGCATGCAGATGATGATTTACTGAGTAAATAACTAGAGAAAATTCACGATGAGTATTAGATGTAGTTAGCTGGAGATAGATTACTTTAATGCTAAATCAAATATACTACTACTACTACAAGTAGTATATATATATGTGTGTATGTAAAGTTGGAAGTCATTTGCATGGAGGCGATTTTAGACAGTGAACGATAGTTCTGCCAATCTGGAGTTTATTTTATAAGTGGTCTTTTTTTCCTTCACGTTCCCAGTGGAACATAGGGCTTCAAGCTAGAAGCTTGAAGTTTCTGTAGCAGTGTTTATTTTACAGGATGGGGTTGCTAGCCTCATGCCCAACCTTTCTTCTTTACAAGCATTATTCTGGCTTAGCGAGGTAAAGGAGTGAGTCTGTGGCCGAGAATCGAACCCCGGACGATGTGCACGGTCGGCGAGCGTCCTAAACGCTATGCCACCGACGCACTAAAAGTGGTCTACTGAGAATAATTTAGCTCAGAAGGATAAATGAATTGAATTGAATTACTTAATTCGCATCTGACTGCATAAAACAGCTACACGGAAATTAAATGTCTATCTCAAAATATTTTAGAATATTAACAACATTTATCAGACATAAATTTTAAAATAGACAAAAATATTTATTGAGACCATGCAGGCTAAAAAAAATAAATAATCCAATCTGCGATTAATAAATGCTGAATGGTGCACGAAGTGAATAAATAAGAATATAAGAATCAACAAACCACTGAATCACACTTTACGTTTTTGGAGATGAAACCTAACCATATTACTAAATTATTTTATTTTATTCATTTTTGATTACAGCTTGATGCCACACCATATTTTCGGTACAGGTATGGAATTTTCAGCATGGATATCGGTAGCCCAAATTTTGTAGGCCGACCATAGATATCAGGTGTGTGTCGACAGGGGATCGAACCTCGGACCATGTGCATGGTTGGCGAGAGTCCTAACCACTGTGCCACCGATGCCATATTTCATATTAATTTTTTCTAATTGGATGTATCATATAGTAAAAGAAGTATCATTTACTTGATGCTATATAGTACTGATTGATTGTGATGAGTAGTCAGATACTACCCACCACATCAACCAGTAGTGCTTGTTAGACATCTAGACAGAAGTGATCTAAACACTGAAGGGCCACTTCACTCGTTTGGGACCGAGCTCATCAGAAATTTATGCGGTTAGACTCCGAGCAGCGCAGAGAACCGAATGAGTCCGAAGCCACTTGAAATTCTGACTAACTACTACTTAGGTGAACTGGAAATACAATGAGTCGACTTCGCAAATTAATTCGTAGTTTGTAGTTCACACAGTTCGTTCGAGATGATACTTTAGTAAAGTTTCCTTTGGAAATCGAAACTATTATTCAGATCACATTATATGATGTGCTTAGATCAGTTCAATCTGCCTAGCGAGTACTACTAGGTGCAGAGAATGATATCCAGCCAGTCATCTAGATGAGTTAGTGGTATAAAGCACCACGTATTTGTGATTGCTTTTTTGATTGTTGTCTATGGTATCAAACGGATCATATATTGTGGTTTGAAGAATTTCGGTTTTCAGAGGAAACTGTGATGAAATAATCACTTAGAATTGTGTAAATTAAAAAATTGTGAGTTTGACTGAGTGCTATTCACTAGATGACATTTTGAACACAATTTATTGTTTATAATCGTATCAAATGTAGCCAGCTACACAACCATGCAACTTGAGTTTAATAGTTCTTATTCTTCCTTTTAATTTGTCGTAAGGATAGTAGAGTTTTTTAGACCTCCGGGACAACACAACACAAATTTCAAGTCAGTCAGTTCTTCTATTCAGGTCAGAAACTTGCACTGTGTCACGAAAAGCATTTCCAGCAGGTGGCTGCAGACTTTTATCAACAACTGACTTCGCTGACTCCATACTGAAGATCAAATGGCCCGCCAGAAAGGATTAGCAAGAATAAACTCTGGGAAGAAAACCAAGAACCTATCGTCTAACAAATACGTAGGAGAAATTGGAGATGGATAGGGCACACACTGGGAGGACCGTCAAACGACATCGCATGACAGGCCATCACTCGAATGGAATCCAAATTGGAAACGACGAGTGAGCTGTCCTAAGGTGACATAGAGGAGATCGTTTAGGGAAGAGGAGATGAGAGATCATAGGCAATTGTGGACCTAGCTGAAGAGGACAGCATAGAACAAAACAAAATAGAGTTGTGTTGTTGAAGCCATATGTTCCACTCGGAACACAATGGAATAATAATTATGTTTGGTTGTATGGTATTTCAATCCTTTAGAAAATTAAACCATAAATAAACGAATCAAAAAATGACCAATAAGGTTATCATGCCAGTGAATGCATAAATTATGGCTTTACGGACAATGAACAAGCTTGTCCATCCTGACACTAGATATAATCAAAATGCTGATTTAAAAGTCCCATAGAATGAGGGCAGTTATCTAGAGACCAAAGTAGTCAAACTCTACCTAAAGGTAGAACAATTCTATCCAACACATACATCCCCAACATATGCACTGCAATACTCCGAGTACATCGATTAAATTACAACTACTATGCTTAAGTGAGATACATAACGGCTATGAACTAGTTCAAGTGTGCTTCAAAATTATCAACGAATTACAATAAAGTTTGAATTGTCCAACTTACATAATCATCATTTCCTTTTGGTACAAGTATATTAATCTCTGAAGATTTTGCAGTGATTACATCAGCAAATTTAGAATCTGCACTCAAATACACTTGACATCCATCAGTTTTATCAATATTCACAGTTGCTAGTTGACCAAGACACTAAAATAAAAGAAAAGAGAGTAACGGTGATGCTGTTTCATGAAAGTGAATAGATAAACTCAGGGAAAAAAACAACAACAACCGAAATACGAAATTATCCACACACACACACACACACATTTCACATAGTTATGTTGTATAAAAATTTCACGTGAGATATGTGGAATTCAGCAACACAAGAGAAATAGGCATTCATACACAGTAGTAATATTAGTATTAGTAATAATGTAACGGCAGAATACACTGGTATTTGGCAGCAGAATTGTTTATTTGAAAGGGCGAAAATATTATATTGAACTTTTAAGTTGCAGAAGTTATTCGCGCATCCGGCCTTTATTTTGTCTCCACTTATGTTTCCCATAGTATTATTGTTGTTATTTTACAACGACCTTCATTTCTTTTCTTCAGAGCTTACTCTATCCCTCCGCCACTATTAAGAATTATTGAAGAATAAATCACACAGTATTTATTATTACTTTGATTCCTTACATTCCGAGTGGAACACACAGGGCTACAACACGGTTTGTAGTTTCAGAAGCAGTGGTGTTAGTACTACGGCGTGGCGTGCTGCTGGCCTGACACCTAAACCTTCTCTCTTTAATGGGCGGCTTATTAAACACTAGTAAATTAGAAAATATTTGAGAGTGTACCAGTCGGAAATTGAATCCGGCTCACTTGCGTAGCTGGCGAACATTCAACTACTGAACTACCGTACATACTACTTATAAAATGATGTCAGCGACACACGCCACAATAGTATATATATACATATATATATACATAAAGACTTTAAATAATTCAGACGTTAAACAATATTTTTTTTATCTGTCCTAGTCAAAAGAGTATCTCGGCATTTTAAAAAGTTCGGATAATAACAGCGGATGGGAAAAATAAAACAAAAAGATAATCGGGTCTAAAATTCGTAAATACCTGAAACCTGATATGTGTTCAGAAAAAAGCGGCGATCAGTCTTCGCTTGCCCATTCTGGTGACTGGATGTCTTTATTCTCTCATTTGGTTACGTAATCTTTGGCTTTAACCTCACCCAGCTTTGATATAGTGTACTTTTACTTGTTTGTAGTTTCCATGATTTGAGTTGAACTCAGTATATTGTTACCTAATTTATTAGTCACTCATCTTACTTACCTTTCGTCTTTATTACGTACCTCCTTTACTATTGTATGTATACATTTACTTTGTTTAAATTTGAATTGTCTTTGTAGAAACTACTTAAGCGTGATTTTCTGAACACTGTTCACTAATTCCGGAACCCAGTATGTTAAAACTTTCTGTACAAGAACTTAATAATAATTCATTTAGGCTGTAAGCATCTGATGAGAAGCCAACGAAATGAATGATAGTACCATATTATTCTGCGAAACCTCGCCTAGATTACAAGCTCGCTAGTTTTCTTGCCGGTCCCCAGCCCGGATAAAGAGGGAGGGTTGGGGCGTAGTGTTAGCAACTTCATTCCCAAAACTCAACCAAACAGCTACAGAAACTTCAACGTGCAATTATATTGAAAATTTTAAAAATATAAACAATAACCTCATTTTTCGCTGGAATCGGGGAAGTGAAATGACGCAAGCTGGTGAAAGCCTTCGGGAAGCCAGTCAGCCGATGTGCCTTCTTTCGATGAAAGCAAAAGTAAGGATGGGTACCTGGAATGTTCGTAAAATGTACGAAACTGGAAAGGCTGCCGCTGAAATGCGAATGTACAGAATAGAAGTGTTGGGAATCTGCGAAAGCAGATGGAACAGAACTGGAAGGTGCCAACTACCAACTGGACAGACAATAATCTATTCCGGCCACCCAGAGGACAACCACGAGCACACCGAGGGAGTGGCCATCATGATGTCACCAACAGCAACCAAAGCTCTCATGCAGTGGGAACCAATGTCCTCCAGGATAATGACAGCAAGGTTCAACTCAAAAGGAAGGAAAGTTACAGTCATTCAATGCTATGCGCCTACAAACGTCTCAGAACAAGAGAAGAAGGAGGCGTTCTACAGACAACTACAAACAATAATGGACAACGTCCCAAATGGCGATATCAAAATCCTGATGGGTGATATGAATGCGAAGCTGGGAGGAGACAACACAGGAAGAGAACTCACCATGGGTCGTTAGGCCCTCGGTGAAATGAACGACAATGGTAAACTCTTCTCAGACTTCTGCGCCTTCAATGATTTGGTGATTGGCGGTATTGTGTTCAAACACAAGGATATACACAAGACGACATGGATTTCGCCAGATGGAAACGCCAAAAACCAAATAGACTTCATCTCAATTTCAAGAAAGTGGAGACAGAGCCTACTGGAAACAAGGTTGAGGAGAGGAGCAGATGTGGGTTCAGACCACTATCTAGTACAAGGGACTTTCAAGGTGAAGCTAAAAGCCTCAAGGATAGCTGCGGATAGGCCGCAATGCAAGTTCAACACTCAGAAACTGAAGGACACAACCACAAAGGACACTTTCACTGCAACTGTCAGAGCGAAGCAGGAAACACTACGTGACATCACTGAAGCATCATGCTTGGAAGACCATTGGAACTCTCTGAAGATGATTTTCAACGAAACGTGTTCAACGGTTCTAGGAAGAAAGAAGAGACAAGACAAGGAATGGCTCTCAACGGACACTTGGAAATTAATAGAAGAAAGGAGAATGGTGAAAGAGAAAATGATTCAATGCAAAGACGGACAGGAGAAAGAGACGCTGAGCTCAACTTACACAGCACTGGACAAAGAGGTGAAGAAGAGTGCTAGGAAGGACAAAAGACGATTCTACGACAACCTCGCCACTGAAGCTGAGAAGGCAGCAGAGAAAAGGGACCTGAGGACATTATATCAGATAACCAAATCTCTATCCAGGAGGAGACCAACACAAGCGAAACCTATAAAAGACAGCCAAGGGAACCCAATCACCAAGGAAGAAAAACAGATTAAACAATGGGCGGATCACTTCAAAGGACTCTTGAACCGACCACCACCTGAAACCCGTCCAGAAATACCAACAACAGCGCGCACACAACTGCAAGTTGACACCAATCCTCCAACGAAAGCTGAAGTCTTGAATGCAATCAAGCTTCTGAAAGCTGGAAAAGCAACTGGACCAGATGGAATACCCCCGGAAGCACTGAAAGCAGACCCAGAGACGACAGCAAACATGCTGACTCCATTATTGCAAAAGGTATGGAAGGAGGGGAAGGTGCCTACTGACTGGAGGAAAGGTAACCTCGTGAAACTACCAAAGAAGGGCGACTTACGCCTCGCTCTGCAAGAACTGGCGAGGAATCACGCTCCTGTCGATACCAAGCAAAATCCTGAGTCGCATCATCCTGGAGAGATTAAAGGACGCACTAGATACAGAACTCCGACCACAACAAGCTGGATTGACGAAAGGCAAATCATGTTCTGACCAAATCGCAACTGTACACATCATCATCGAACAAAGTATCGAATGTCAATCAAACCTCTACCTCAACTTTATAGATTTTGAGAAGGCCTTCGACAGAGTTGACCGCGAAGTAATTTGGAAACTACTCGAGTACTATGGCGTACCCCAAATATTCATCAACCTTATTCAACAGCTGTGCGACAACGGCACATGTCGAGTGATCCACAACGGAAAACTCAGCGAGGCGTTTGGGGTAAACACAGGAGTCAGACAAGGTGCCTGCCTATTATCACCAATGATATTCCTAATTGTGGTGGACTGACTGGATTATGCGTCAGACAGTGGGAAACGAGAAGACAGGAATATCCTGGACCGACGTGAAGAACCTAGAAGACCTGGATTTCGCGCGTGGATGATTTATGTTTGATGCCCACACACACACACACACACACACACACACACAAAATTGAAGACTAACAAGTGAAAACCGACAAACTGGTCGAAGAAGCAGCCAGAGAAGACAGGACTCTAGGTGAACATAGACAAGACGGAGGTTATGAAAATAATCAACCAACAACAACAGCAGCATCAGCCAGCGCCAATCACCATCAACGGGAAGGATTTGAAAGAGGTTACTTCATTCACTCACTTATCTAGGGAGCATCGTCTCAACTACAGCCAGTCGGAACGGACGACGATGTCAAATCGAACGAGAATCGGGAAGGCGAGAAACACATTCATCAACCTGAAATCAATCTGGAAATCTTCGTCACTCAGTATCAACAACAAAATTAAGTCGGATTTTCAATACAAACGTCAAGCCAGTCAGTTCTTCTATACGGATCAGAAACTTGGCGGGCGGGTCACAAAGAATATTTCCAACAGCCTGTTGCAGACCTTTATTAACTGTCTTCGCTTTATACTGAAGATCACATGGCCGGAAAGAATCACCAACAAGAAACTATGGGCACTAACAAACAAAACAAGGACCAATCGCCAACCAACAAATATGCAGGAGAAAGTGGAGATGGATTGGACACTCGCTGAGGAGACCGCTGGGTGACATCGCGCGTCAAGCCCTCGAGTGGAACCCGAAAGGGAAGCGGTGAGTGGGACGTCAGTGCAAGGGTGACATGGAGGAGATCGTGTGAAGAGGAGTTGAAAGAGTATGGACTAACATGGGTGCAGGTGAAAAGTACAGCAGAAGACAGAAGTGGCAAGTGTAGACGTGCAGTTGAAGCCCTATGTTCCACTAGGAACCCAAGGGAACAATAATAATAATATTATTCTGCAAAAGTTATTGTTCTTGTTTTATCCAAATTCATAGATATGTAACATGAAATATAATACATCAATTTATACTAAATATTACGATATTATACAGCCAAGAGCCAACGATGTGAGTCGGTGGCTCAACGGTAGAATGCTCGCCAATCACACCGCATGTGGTCCGGGGTCCAACACACTCCTTCATCTCGCTAAGCTAGTAATAAAACTGGTAAAGAGGGAAAGCTGCGTGTGAGGTTGGCAACCCTATCCTATAAAAATAGACACCACTGCTACAGAAACTTCAGGCCTCTAGCTTGAAACCATGTATTGCACTG